TTTCCCAACATTATTTATTAAAAAGAACTCTTTTACTCATTGAGTTGTCTTTCCCTATTGACTTGCACATGCATATGTAGAGAACCTATTGACCACATGCACACAGGTCTGTTTCTAGACTGTATATTCTGGGATGTGTTTTTTGCATCTGATCTAATCTGGTAAATGATACATAAATACTGAAAAGGGATGTGTAATCTGCACTAGTTGGGTTTAGTGTTTTATAAAGGTCAAATTGGCTGATAATATTTTTAAAAAAATATTTTCCATTCTTACTGAGTTTTATGGTCAAGATGTTCTACAATTATTGACAATAGAACAGTTAAATCTCCAACTTCAATTGTTCTTTTTCTCTATTTCTCTATAGTTCTAGAATTTTTTTGTTTACTTCTGACATTTTTTTGTTTCTATCTACAAATGTACATAGTAGGTATATGTACATTTAGGATTGTTATATGTTTTTGATGAATTTATTATTTTTATCCTTATGGAATGGCCCTCTTTGCCTCTCCTTTCTCAAGGCCTATTTTGTTTTGTAGAAATACACTCATACTGCTTTTTTATGCTTAGTGGTTGCATGATATGTAATTTTCTTTTCTTCACTTTCAACTTATATGCATTTACATTTAAAATGCATCTAAAGTAAATTCCATACGGTTGAGTCTTATTTTTTATATTAAGTCTGAAAACCACTTTTTTAGTAGAAGTGTTCAGTCCATTTATATTTAATATAATTATTAATTTAGCTGGACTTAGTCTACCATCTTGCTATTTGATTTCTGTTATTCCCTTGTATTTTTTGTTCCTTTAGTGCTCTCTACTTGTCTCCTTTGTGTTAATTATGTAGTTTTGGGGTAATGCTCCATTTTATCACATTTATTAACTTTTTAAATACTCTTCCCTATTATTAAGAAGTGCCAAAGGGATTGCAGTATACACCCTCAGTTTATCCTAATATTGAATTATTATTATATCACTTCATGTATAATGTAATACCTTTCAACAATATAATTCCATTAGTCACATTTCCATCTATTCTGTTCTTATTGTCATTGTCATATGTCCTACTTCTTTATAGTATTAATACTACAGTACATTGTTTTTATTTTTGCTTTAAACAGTTCATTGTGTTTGAAAGGAATTGAATAAAGAAAACCAACAATTTATTATATTTACCTACCATTTACCATTTCCAGTGATTTTCCCTTCATACTGTGAACTATATTTCCACCAGATATCATTTTCCTTTGGCTTAAAGAAATTCTCTTAGTAATTTCTTACTAGTGAAAATTATTTCAGCTTTTATTTATCTGCTTTCATTTTTAAAGATACTTTTGCTCAACAGTGGATTTGGGGTTGACAGATTGTCTTAGCCTTCTAAGATGTCATTTTGTTGTCTTTTGGTCTCAACTGTGTTTGATGAGCGGTCAGTCATTACTCCTACGATATACCTAGGTGCTGTTTTCTTTGTGTGGGTCATATCTTAGGTTCACTGAGTCTTTTAGACTTGTAGGTTGATATTTCAATCGATTTTGAACATTTCAATTCAATATTTTTATGCCCAATGTCCCTTGTTTTACTTCTGGGATTCATTTACATGTACATTAGACTGCTTGATAACATCCTACAGGTCATTTTGGCTTTTCCATTTTCAAAAAATGAATGCTTCACTTTGGATGTTTTTCATTTTCTTGTCTTCAAGTCACGTGATCTTTTCTTCTGCAGTATCAATCTGCTGTTAATTCATTACAAATTTTAAAAATATATTCTATTTTTCAATTTTAAGATTTGCATTTGCTTCTTTTTAAAGAGTTTTCACATTATTTTTAAATTTTCTCTTCTATTCATCACTTATCTTTTTCTGTAATCTCTTTAGCATATATAATAATTGTTGTAAAGTCACCTGCAAGTTCCAAATCTGGATAATTTTTGAACCTTCTTCTATTGACATATTTTTATTCTTTTAAATACTGGGACTAATTTCCCACTTGTTGGCACATCTATTAAACTTTTATTATATACTAGATGATATGTTATGGAGATTGCATTATGTGTCCTCCTCTGAGTTATATTATAGCTGTAGTTAAATTACTGATGAATGATCTTTATTCTGTGGAGATGTGGTTTTAGGCTTTCTCAGAGCAAATCTATTTCAGCTCTGCCCTTGGTTGTAGGACATAACTCTTAGACTGGAACAGTAGTTCTTTCCCCTAATATGACCCTTCTGGGGTTTCAATGCAATGAAAACACAAGGCATTTATCAAGCTCTCTAATTTCAGTGGGATTACACCTTAAACTTTTTCTCCCCAGAAATGGGCAATTGCTGACATCTCTGTTCAGCAATTTTAGTGTCCAGTCTCTTGTTTTCCATTCAGTTCCTTCTCATCTTAGGACTCACCCAAGGATTGAGCAGATACAGATTTAGGAAATTTCCCTGTAGCAGTTGCTTCCTTTCTGGGATTTCTAGGTGCTTTTTGGGATTCCCAGAACTCTTAATTCTGGCTTGCCAACCCAGTGAGACTGCTGTATTCTACTTGAGCTTGTCCAGATGCTCTAAGAAAACTGGGAAAGCCTGTAGAGGGCAAAGCTGATTAAATGTGGATCTCACCTAGATTGCTTGCCTTTTTCCAAGAGCTGTATCTCCTTCAGTTTCTACCTGCTTTTGTTAGTGCCCGGTGCCTTCCAAGAGTGTGTTTATATTTTTTCTAGAATTATAACTGCTATCAGCAGAAGGATTAGTTTGATATGAGCAGCTCTTCCACTAGAGCAGCTGGATATGTCACATTATTTTAAATGAATGCTATTATTTAGGGATCAGTTCTTCTAGGAATAATTACGTTATGGTAGAAAGCAAACCCTAAAGCAAATAAAGCATTTTTTGTGACTCTCTGGTACTAACACACAGATGGAGAGGCACTTTGCGAGCAGTCAAGAGCACACACATAGACAGCAATCTGCTCGGCGCCTAGGCTGTATAACTCATTCCCTAAAAATCTGCCTCCTGCTTCAATCTCCCTCCTATTAAAATCTAACTTTTTTTTCTCCAAATCAATATCTTTCACATTTACTTCATATTTATTTTGTTCTCGAATGCTTCACTCCCTCACAACCACTGGATATTCTTTTCCCTCTGCACTTGACACCACCATCCTCCCTCCCCTGCTATAGTATATTTTAGTTTGTTACTTAGCATTTTTATCTCTTCCAATCTTTTTATCTCTTGGAAGTTTTGCCTCTTCCAATTCACTAATCTGTACACTTCAGTCCATTTTTTTCCATTTCTGCACCTACAAGATGGAAAAGAACAAAACCCAGCATAGCTCCTTAAAGCCAAAACTGTTCTCCCGCTAATTGATTTTGAAAGAGTTAAATATTTCTAGGCATAATCCCCAGCATTTTTCTACACTTTCTTAAAAACACGAGAGTGAAGGAGCAGTACGAGAATCTGGCTGTGCTCCTCTGTAGCTCTGCCACTGAGCAGCATAGTGCTTTCGGTTACTCACTTAAGCCTCCATTTTCCTATCTGTAAAATGAGGAAAGCATTTGAGAACTTAAAGCCTACCTCCATCTCAGGATTTTACCAGCCTATTGAAGCTACAGAGAAGCAACTCCCGGGTTGGCAGGTGTCATGGCATTAGAGGGAGGACAGACTGACTGCCACCTGGGTACTTAAAAGCACCCTCTGTAAAAATTTAGGCTCTGTGGGACTTAAATGTAATAGGCCAGACCTGGGATGTAGGATGGACTGCAAGGAGGCAGCCTCAGTAGAGAGATTTGTTAGTATTTCTCTCCCTAGAACTGCTCTGATCCTTACTTAAGTCTTCACCCTCTTTGTTGCTTTTTCTTGTCCCAATTTGCCACAATTTCCTCCTTTCTCCAAAACTTAATCTAATTTTCACTTTTATTTGGTCCTGATTGTAAAAAGTCCAGATTATTGTTTCTACTTACCCAACAAAGTTTTCAGTTCCTTAATATACAAAGCAAATAATTCTATTGCTCAGTAATCTTTTTTAAAAAATAAGAGAAGTACAATTAGATAAAAGATGATTTTTATTTTCTTGTGACCTATGCTTCCCTCTCTCAATTTGTTCCCCACCCCTGGAGAGTAATAACCCTTGATCAAGAAAGGATTCCTAGAGTCTTAGTTAAACAAAAAAATAGAATCAGCTAATCATTTCCAAAGATCACTCTTTACCCTGTGACCTCTTCTTGGATTAAAATTGAATAAACCTGGATAGCCTATGGATGTTTTAAAATATGTTTAGAACTATGTCTTTTATTTTTTACTCAAAGCCTTATGAGTTATAACCATTTACACTGAATTTCACCCAAGACAATAATTTGGAAAGCTACTTTGATGAAAGTAGAAACTTATAAACAATAAATTCAGTATACTTCTGTTACAAAATTGGTGCCGGGGGAAAGGATAATACCCACATTTTAAGGTTAACTCTTACAGTGAACAAAGATCTCTTTGAGCATCAGTGGTGGGGTTTGGTCTGTAATATAGTTAACCAAATGGCTAGAGGTAAAGAATTTTACCACAGAGCTATCATATATAAAAATGTAGATTGATCTTTAGTCATAACAATCTGTTCTGAACAGATAAAGAGAATGAAAAATTAATCAAAGTAATCAAACAATTGTTTCATAGAGACAGTTATAATATATGATTCAGACCTAACCTCCTCTTCTTTTCTTGGGACTATTTTTTCTCTTCAATACAAGAAACTTTTCTTGAGTCTTTGATTTAACATTGACTTTGTCTTTTTTCCTTTAAAGACATTACCTTGGAGAATAATTTTTATAATTTTGTCTATTGCCTGGGCTTCAGAATTTTCTAATTTCCTTTCAAAATTTTTGTTATAAAATAATTTTTGTCTATCTATTATGTAAAAATATCTTTATTATGCAAAAATTCAAAGAACTTTTTAACATTTTGATGTTAATTTGTTTTTATTGGTATGTTTTTGTGAAGTGCAAAGGGCATGGGTATTATATCTAAGAAGGAAGGACCTCTGCATTTGTTCATAGTAATTTTGCTCCATTCTCATTTCTATCTGCTTTTTTCTTCTTATTTAAAATACAGCGTGTTACAACTATAGTGACACAAATGATTCCTATGAAAACCATTGCCGTTAAAGTTCCTTTCAAGATAAGACGATCTCTGGCAAGTACTGGAGCAGAACTGTGGGGAACAGTGACACCTGGGCAATGTTAGATACTGCAGATTCCAAGGAATTCTTATCTGTGGTTCGTATTGCCACATAAACTCTGTGGCTTCCTTGTGTCTCTCCATCAAGTGGATGTTCAGGTTCATTTATGAAAAGCTTAGGTAAAAATGTAAATATCTCCTTGGTGCCAGCTTGTTGAGGACTTAGCTTTGATGTATTCACTAAAATGGCATTGTTAAAATCATCTTGAATATTCTGTAGAGTTTTACTCATTCTTATTTCATAGCTGTTGGCTGAAATTAGAAATATGAATGGGAAACTTAAGTCACTTTGAGTAGGTTTTCTAATTTACTACTAATGATTAATGAGAATATAACAAAAAGTCAAAATACCTATAAATGAACATAAGAAATATGTACATGAACAAAACTTTACTGTCTAAGAACTCATATTAAAATCTAAACAAGAGGAAAAACATGTTTTCTGAATAGTAAGATTAGCATAATAAAGATATTTTCCAAATTTTATGTGATTCTCTTAAAAGTGGCTGTATTTTCTACAAGCTTATGGTAAACTTTAAATGGAAAATAAGTGATTGAGGTTGGCCATATAAAGTCTAAAAAATAGCAATGTAGAAGGCCAACTTTATCAGATATAAAAACACTGTAACTCTTTGATAACTAAAAAACTGCAGTGCTGGTGCATGAATAGACATACAAAAATAGGTCAAAATACATTCAGGAATGTAGTACATAATATAAATAAAATTCATTAATAGTGAGAAATAAAAATTTCTTGATAATGGTGCTGTGATAAAAAGCTGGAAAAAAATATGACCCATACTACAAATCTGTTATCCAAAGTGATCAAAAAGTTTGATGTAGAAAATAAAAACATTGAGCATTTAGTAGGAGACAATAGATGAATTCCAGTATAATACTGAAGTGGGAAAGGCTCTTCTAATTAAGACTCAAAATTTAGAAGTCATAAACAAAAAAGTTGGTAAATTCAAATATATAAAAGGAAAAACTTCTGCATGGGAAAAAATCATCCTAAGCAAAATATAAACATAAATATTAAGTGGCAAGAATATTTGCAACTTAAATCAAATGCAAAGCTTGATTCTGGTAATAGCCAAGTGGCTTCTATAGAACTAACTCTCCAGCAAGTAACAGGTATAAACTCTGAAGGAAGAAGGAAAAAAAAAACAAACCAACTATTGAAGCACTGGACTCAGATAAAAAACAGACAGAAACCAGAGGAGAGAGAACCTTTAAAAGTGGAGAACCAGACTGGAAATGATTTATATTCATAGAGCTTTTCCTCTGAGGGCACTTTCCACTTTGGAATCTGTAGCTGACTCTGACACAAAGATCTACTATCTTATTGGTCTAAGAAGTCAGAGGGCCAAGGGTGGGATTTCCAGACTAGTTGGAAAGGGAAAGAGCCAGAGAAGGACAAGCCCAAAGCATGTGTGTTAACATGCTCTCAAATCATTTGAAGACCTCTAAGTTATGCATGTGTGTGAAACATCTAGGGCTCAGGGGAAAAATAGCTAGAAGGCTGAAAACTGAGCAGAATTTTATGCTAATGCCCACCACAGGGGAGATAGAGTTTGAAGTGAGTCTTGCCAAGTTAGACGAACTTGATAAATACCTGGATGTTCACTAGAACATTAGAAAATCCACAGTTTAGGAATAAAGATTGTGTTCCAGAATTAAGGGATATGCTCTAGGATAAAGACAGAAACTGAAATAGACAAACCCTAGTCAAAAGTAAAATCAAACCTCCTCAATGGAAGTGATCTAAGGTATCTACTAGAAAAATTGCAAAACTCTTCAGAAATATAGAATGGACTCCAGGATCTACAATTTGATGCCACATGTCCAATATATAACAAAAAATTACTAGCTATGCAATGCAGCAGAAAATGTGATATATCATCAAGAAAAACATCAGCAAATAGAATGGTCATAAATGACTGAGATTTGAAATTAATAGACAAGGACTTTAAAACAACTATCATGGCAATGTTAAAGGTCTACAGAAAAACTGGAAGAAAAACTGGATATAGTGAATAAAAAGATGGAAAATTTGAGAAGTGGAAACTTTTAAAAAGAGGCAAATGGAAATCCTACAATTGAAAAAAACTACAGTGAAAAAATTCATTGGAGAGAATTAAGATTGGTTTAGACATAACAGAAGAATCAGGAAACTTGAAAACAGGTTCATAAAAATCATCCAAAAGAGGCACTCAGAAAAAAGAGATATAAAAATTGAAAATAATCTCAATAAAATAATCTTTGAAATTCACTGACATATCAACTTAGTGTATGTAATATAATATAATACACATAATATATTACTCAGGAAGGAAAGGAAGAGAATTTTTGCAGATATTTTGAACATTGGTTGTGTAAGAAGATGATGATGTCAGAGGAAGCATTATGAAAATAAGGCTGTTAGGCAGGTAGGGACGACAGGGCAGGGAAGGATGTCCAAGAGTAGGACTCCTTGTGGTCTGGCCCCACCCCAAAAGCTCTGCCCAGGCTCCTAGTGTTAGAAGCTGGCTTCTCTTTTCCCACCCACACTAGTCTCTACATTTTTAAAATATATGTTGCTCTCAAAGCCTGAACCACAAAAATGGTACTGGGTTATATGTAAAATGGCCCTTTGACCATTTTGTGCCTTTTTTCTTAATACAGGATTATACATCCTTGGAGTATAATGACCATCTTAAATTACATATATAATATTTAGTGTGCTGGGCACATAATAGTTGGCTAATAAGTAATATGTTTTACTTTAATTTCTGGATTAAACACAAAGGAAATTAGCTTTATAGCAGCAAAACAGATTATGCTCTGTACTTGGTTTTCTTATTTTACCTCAGACTTTTAGTCAAAATCCAAAGCAATAACCCATTTCTATAGTGACTAGTCCATATACATATGACCTTTGAACAATGTGGGGGGTAGGGGCTCTGACCACCACATAGTCCAAAATCCATGTTTTTGTTGACTCTTCCTAAACTGAACTATAGCCAGCTCTACGCATCCACAGTTTCAACCAACCTCGGATCAAAAAACAGTATTTGCAATCAGTGATTGGAAATCTGAGGTTGGCAATGTGAAAAGTATGGTTTTCTGTCCATAGCTGGTTGCAGCTATGGATGTGAAATCTGCAGATATGAAGGGCTGACTGTATTTATTGAAAAGAAATCTGTGTGCTACCCACACAGCACAAACCTTTGTTGTTCAAGAGTCAGTTGTGCATTCCTAAACATAATGGTGATCTGGCAATATTTTGTTCATTCTATGTAATTGGTCATCTTTTATAGGATATTGTGTATGGTAAAGACCCAGTACCTAGGTGCACATTGATATGTTTAGTGTGTTATAACATATACACATATATGTTATATGTGAAATGCTCATTCATTGCTAACATGGTTTAAAAATACATAGTTACATTTTTCAATAATTGTAAAAGACATTGCTTCTAATTCTGCCCACTGAGGTGTGGATAACACCTTCCTAGACAACAATTTGTGGGGGAAAAAAAGGTGATAAAAGCATGTGTTTGTTATTTAAACAGATACCTTCTGACTAGTTGGTTTGCTCATGGCTAATTGCTCCATTTTACCATTGCTGAGTCATTAAATCTGTCAAGGCTGAGTGATTACAACTTATGGTAATACACATGCAGCCATTTCCCCCACATTGTAGTCTGAGGTTTCGATACTATAACAACCTTGAATCATCTCATTTGTTAGTGAAATCTCTCTGTTAGAGTGAAAGTCTCTCTATTCTCTATCTCTATTCTCTATGATATCAACTATATACCACAGTCCTATTTGGTTGTATTTATTCTTTTAAAAATTTTTTTAATTTAATTCTTTTATTGTTGTTCAATTACAGCTGTCCCCATTTCCTCCCCATTAAACTCCCCTGCCCTACCTACCCCCTCACCACCCTGCTCCTGCATTCAGTCCTCCCCACTGTTGTTTTTGTCCATGGGTCAGTTGTATTTATTCTTTTCAATCTACTAACAACCACTAATTCCACACCTGTATTTTCTTGCAACTCTTTCAACACAGTGGTGTAGTTGAAACTGCTGAGGTTTTTGAAAAGAGTGTTTCCCAGTAGTAATGGGAGTCTGAGCTTCTGTTTATCTCTTTGAACACACTACCATGCTTCTGAAGCAGTAAGAAAAAGGGGAGATACTAGTTAGCAGACATTAGTCTAACCTTTAAATAGAGATGAGAGTGAGTGTTTGTGGCCCTTACTCCAACTGAGAAGCTGGAGAAGTCTCCAGCAATGTGAACCAGGAACCCAGGAAACTTACTGGGCACACTTTCTCTTCCTTTTCTGGTTTCATATGTGTCATTTCATTTCTTCTGTACAATGGCTTATGAAATACACAGTTTTAGTCCTGTGTTCCATATAAGAAAACTGAAGCCAATAGAATATAGGCAAACTGCCAAAGATCAAAGAGCCAAACTTAAAGCCAGAGTGGGAATAAATGATTTTTTCCCCTCACAGCTATTTAAGTTACAGCTATTTCCACAATACAAGGGGCATGTCCATCCCATAGTTTTAAACATCTCATACCTCTGCCTTTACATTTGAAGAATCTTTAATTCAGAGCCTTCTTCTGAAGGAAGTAAAAAAATATTTTACTTCCTTCTTCTCTGGCAAGAAGAGAGACATTTTGCTAAAAGAATATGAGGACAAACCTACAATATTGACTGCTTTTCAGCAGCAAAAAATTATTTGTAATTGAGACCCTTTTGGTAATGTAGTGAACAGAGACTTATAAGTCAAAGAAAGATGGTCCAAGTTAGAAGCAAGACTGGCAAAGAGCTGAGGTTGTCACTATTATTGACAGATATTGAGAAGAGCAATGCTCAATAGAATAGGTTGATTTCTATAGGATTCTTAGTCAGAGGCATCAGGAAATAAACCCAATTCTCAGAACTACTTGGGCTGACTTGGGAGTATTTATAAATCAACTTCCACCGCTTTTACCTCCAGCAGGATGTTAAACAAAAAAATTTAACTTCCATGGCTGAACATCTTTTGAAAAGAAAGGGTTTATTAGGCTGTTGCTAGCAAAAAAAAAAAAAAGAAGGAAGAAGAAGGAAGGAGAAGGAAGGAGAAGAAGGAGGAAGGGGAAGAAGGAGAAGGAGGAAGAAGAAGAAGGAGAAGGAAGAAGAAGGAAGAAGGAGAAGGGAGAAGGAGAAGAAGAGGAGAAGAAGGAAGAAGGAGAAGGAAGAAGAAGAAGGAAGAAG